AATACGCTTGTTGCTTATTATTACCATGCTCTGCATTTCATTAGTCCAGCATTGCTCGAATGTGTACATTCATGAAATGTTTGAACGCTGCTCTGTCCCCTCTAAATGAGTGGAGATCACGCTGAATGAATCTGGACGATTGACTGATCAACAGACTTCTGCTTCTCAACCACCCAGAGAGTGCAACTGGGCTTTGTTGTGATGCAAGCTCTCATTTTACAGGGGCATTCAGAGTTTGTAAATTATACTTGCGTTCATTTAGAGCCGAGAAGTTTCTGCCTTTAAAAGTTCCCAGGAGGCACTCTCACTCATAAGACGACAAGGGACTGTCAGCTCTCTTATGTCTGTTCTCACATGCCCAGCTTGTTGCGGGCAGGAACTGTAATGGCCTGTATGTCCAGATCGTTCCGCTGTACAGTGCATTATATAGTCATAATATATCTATTGAAATGTGCATTCAAGTGAGCGCATAGAGACAGACTCTCGAACAGGTTTGGCCAGGGGGTTGGATTATGTAGGTGGGCCTGAATATATCTACTTTATGGTCAGATAGCCCCTGTTAGTCACCTTGATGTTTTGCAAGAGTGCTTGGACAGCGACTGTATGCCCTCCTTGTTTTAAGTATACCTCTATAACAGCATAACGCCAACATATTTATAGTCTCCCGGCAGAATGTCCTGTCAATAAGAATTTCGAGTGGCACAAGAAGGCTGATCGTCTCTCGCCCTTCTACATGATCAACATGTGCTGGGCACTCTAGGCAGTCCTGTGATTTGAATATTTCCTCACATTCCTCACATTCCTCGCATTGTGAGTTTGCCTTTGCAAGAGGATTATGTCTACAACTTGAACTGAGATTGTGTTTGGTGTTAAATAGGTCATGTAGACTATCACGGCAGTTGTTGATGCCCCTGCAAAGTGGTGTTCAACTAGGTCGTTTAGCCATTCACAGTCTGTTGTTACAGGTGCAGACACTGCGGCCTTTCTGCGCGAATGGTCACCCTTGTGGGCGATATCTATGCGCATTGCTGTTGTACGCATTCACGGTGTAAAAGCACAGACAGGAATCCGTCATTGTTTTGTTGGTTTCTACCACACAGGTAGTAACCTTTGCAGAAAAACCTATGCGAGGTGGACTATGAGGCACCTATGCATGTTGGTATAGCCTATACGTGTTATTATAGCCTTAACGCATGCATTGTCCGTGCAGGAATCAATCAATGTTCAGCATTCGTCTTATACTGTTGCAGGGTTGCAGGGTATGTAAACTTGTGAGCACAACTGTAGGTGTCTTTCCACATGCTGTTTAATGCTGCTCAGAGGTGGCATAAATGCATTTACACAGCAATTACAACTGTATATTTTGATACTAGGGGCTGAGGTGGGTGGGTTTATGCAGCATTGTGTGTTTACACTGAATTTTGAGGAGGCACAGAGCAGCCTTAACTTGGCTGTGTAAAGACACCTATAGTTTCAATTGTATGCTGCTGTGTTGCAATTGCATCTACAGTATGATAACTAAAAAGCTTTGTCTTGTCCATAAGGCTCAAAAAAAAAAAAAAATCTGTATAATTCAAAATGATGTGTGGTGATGTGTAAATGGTTTCCACAGAACTTGAGCTTTTTCCAACATAATTGTGTTTTGGCAATAAAACATTTTGAAGAGCTAAAAATCAATATACTTCTACTTCTGATGGCTTTCGGGAAGCGTGTAACCTCACTTTCTGCACATGCTGAAAGGCTGACCAGTCTTGCCACTCCATTTGCATGCGTTTGCATTCATAATTTCCTGCATCACAGGCAGCTTTAGTGTTAAATGCAACAGCCTGCTAACAGAGTTTGTGACCAGTGGTTCCGTGATGTTTAGACAGCAGTGAGGAGTGAGTCATCGCTCACATGCTGATCCAAATAGCTCTGTTGCACACATACAAACACAGACACACATGGAGCCAACATAACGCTTGTCTGATAGTGTATCTCAGATAAGCACTTGTATATTCATGAGTTTAGACTGTGTCGTTGTAGCCCTTTTTACTTTTTGATTCATGCAGTTAGTCCCTGAAGGCCAGGGGTAATGAGATCAGATTTTCACACAAGCAGGGGTTTGATTGACTCTGAATATAGCATTTATGAGATCCAGTTACCTACGGTCTCTCTGCTGGAAACTGCCTCTTTCATGCTCTACTGATGACCCTTCTGGCATTTTCTGTTTCAGGACACTTTGTTTTGTGTTGCAGAGGTGCAAGATACAGATTACAGTAACTATGGAAATCAAGAACTTACTGTTCTTTTTAAATTGTATGTGAATCAGTAGACATTATGCAGTGGTAAACTGGAGTATGCCACTTTGGTGTCACATGTTGTCATCACATTGACTATGATTACACATACATCGATATTCCGATATGATTCGGAATTCGGCAGTACTCTGATTAGTACTGATTCATGGGTAACACCTTACAATAAGGTCCCATTAGTTAACATTAGTTAATGCATTAAGTAAGGAATTGATGATGGGCTGTTGAGTTAGTTGAGAAAATAATGCACACCCAAGGTGGTGATGCGTTCGTTATACCTCGGGTGTGCATTATTTACTAATAATTCAATGGACCAAAGTCAATTATTCCATTTATACTACGGTTTCCACACCCACACAGGTTTTTGTCCTTAAAACGCTCTTGTGCAGTAGGATTCATTTCTTACGCATCTCATCCTACACTCGTTGCTAATTCTAACATGTAAGTTTAGACATATTAACAGAAGCTTGAGCCGTTGATAGTAATGCAATTATTAATGCAGTTATCAGAGAGAGAAAGAGAGAGAGAGAGAGAGATTAAACGTGTGAATTACCTGAGTCTGTGCGTCTCTCAATAGTGTTCGGCAGTAGCATCTCTACTAATAGCGAAACTGTTAGTTCATCTACTTCAAAAATGCAGTTATTACCTTTGTAGTGAGAAATGACAAAAAGTCGCTAAACTATTTAAATATTTGCACGTGTATGTTTGTTTTTTTTGCTGTTGTAAGCTGTAAGGACCTTTGAAAGCACTGAAATCATTTAGCAAAGTGATATGGACATGTAATGCGGTCAAGACCTGCCTGGAGCTACTTTAGCCATGCATTTCCCTGAAAATAACTGCACACCTTAGAATGTTCGTCAACCTTTCAGATTCAAGCATTCAACAGCCCTGTAGTATAACTAAAATGAACTAACAATGAGCAATATTTGCTACAGTATTTATTAATCTTTATTAATATTAGTTATTAAAAATAAAACAGGTCCATTAATTAATATTAACAGATACGATTTTTATTTTAATAATGTATTAGTAAATGATCAAATTAACATTAACTATGATCTTTAGAATAATTTTTAATTGTTAGTTTATGTTAATAAATGTAGTTAACTAATGTTAAAGGGGTCATATGATGCTGCTAAAAATAACATTATTTGGTGTATTTGGTGTAATGAAATGTGTTTATGCGGTTTAAGGTTCAAAAAACACATTATTTTCCACATACTGTACATTATTGTTTCTCCTCTATGCCCCGCCTTTCTGAAACGCGTCGATTTTTACAAAGCTCATCGGTCTGAAAAGCGATCAGTCCTCCATAAAATGCACTGGACACATCTGAATATTTGGGTTAAACTGTTCTGGAACAGTGTTGTAAATACAACTTAACCACTGATTTCTAGTCGTGGCCTCTTTTGGAAGGCCAAACAAAGTAGTTTCGCTTTCACAATGAAAAAGCATCACACACTGTGTCCTTGAGTGAGCGGAGGCCGGAGGCCTAGAGTGAGCCGCGGCCTAGAGTATGCGGAGGCCGGCTTGAGTGAGCAGAGGCAGGCGGTCTTGAGAACGGCGCGGCCGGCGAATTCGACGGGCTGGACTCCGCTTCGTCCACGGTGAAAACCGATCCGGCGATCCACAGAAATCGTATCATATGACCCCTTTAACAAATGGTTTAAGACATGTCTGATTCCTAGCACTGGAATATGACTGTTTTAACTGGAAATATCAACATAGTTTTGAAAATTCTACAAATATAGTATTGTTTTTTGTCTAGTAGTAACTGGTAGGTGTGGCAAATATTTTAGAATTATCAGTGACTTTTTTTTGTTGAGACTTTTGGATGTTTCCTTGTCTGCTGCCTGATATGACAGCTCAAGATAGTCACTAGTGAAGGACGTGTGACTGGCTACATTATTATGTTATTATGTATGATGTTTTATGAGTTCCTGCGGCACCAGGGTGATTGGTCACATGACATTTATGGCGCACTTGATTGGCTCGTAAAAACCTGTAGCCCAGAACTAAGCGCCCATGACCAAATCCCTCTGAGTTTTAGCTACTTTGTTGCTTAAATGCTTCTTTTTTTCGCTATGTTGTGCTCTACTGGGTCTCTCTCATCCCCTTAATTTCACTCTATTTTTCTCCCTAATTTGCCATCACATTTTCCCGTTTTCTATTTCCCCTACTGTTGCTTATGTGTTTATGTATGTGTATCATCAGCTTGGATATAATCCTGCTGCAAATTGCATGAAGCAAGCATTTTACTGTCAGAGATTTAATGCAGTGACACCAAACATGCATGTGTGTGTGTGTGTGTGTCAGAGAAGAGAGCATGCCTGCACTGTCAGTCGCATTGGCCTCTTAAAGAGAAACCTCTGCTTTTCTGCTGTCTCTCTCTGCAGTGCCGCCCTCTCTCCTAATCTCTCACTCACCTACTTTCTCTGTCTCTCTTTCTCATTGCGGTTCATCTTTCTGCAGATCTTGCGTTCTTACAGCCTGCGTGGCGGGATGGAGTCAGAGCAGGTTCATGTCGTGCTATCAGTGAGTCAGAATATTACAGTCTACGTTTGCCACTGAGACCGGCCTAAACTAAAACAGGAGGAAGACATCATAGAGAGGACTGGTATTCTATAAGTCACATCTTGGAGAGGCTTGTGTGTGGTTTGTTTCAGGCTCATGCCTGTCAATAACACTGTGTGTTTTTTCTAGGCTGGTTTGGGGACTTTGTCTGTCATGCAAGACCTGAGGAGCGAATCGGAACGTCTCAATGAGGTCAAGGGTCATTTGGAAATTGCCTTACTGGAGAAACACTTCCTACGTGAGTACTGGAAAAATATCTGTGCATGTATTCTATGTATGATATATGGAGTATAAAGCTGAACAGAAGTTGGGATGCCCTTTATGTATATGCACAGTGTTTCATTCATACCTACAGGTTATACAGTAGTAAGACTGGGCTCAGCATGGGTTGTATACCATAACAAAAATTTACCACGGTATTATATCATCCTTTTCAGTACCTGACCCAAATGACCGTGTGCTGCACTAATGTGAGTGAGAAGTTAGCACTGTAGCTTACTTCAACTGTTTATTTTAATTTGTATGATTTATGAAGCCTTTACTATATGACCATTATTCTTAAAAATACTTCTGGCCAGGGTCAGAAATGAACAAGGGCTTGTGGCAAACATGCAACTGGAAATTACAAAAAAAACAAAAAAAAATGCACTTGATATTTAACATTTTTGTGGGGAAAATGCCACCATACTGAATTCCTTAAGGTTGGTTTTATTACGTTTAATATATTTCATAATATTTTATTCTAGGGCTGTCTCTTTGAACAGAAGGATTTGTTCAGAATTTAATTTAATGAATTCAGTAGAGCTTTTGTCATAAATTGATGAGATTTTCATCTGTCATAAAAATGTCCCTGAAAATCAGTTCCAGAGGTCAAATATTTAATATAAATATCATTTTATTACATCAGTCTGAATTCTTATTGCATGAGCCACATTTAAAGCTGCTGTAAAATAGCCAATATATGCTCACCACTGATTGCACATGAGTTTTGAAGAAGACTGTGTCTTATGTTGCTTGTCTTTATTTTAAATATTGCTCAGTTATGATCCAACACTCTGGTTTGTTCTTGTATGTCTCTTCTTTGCGTTTTCATGTAGGTAAAGTATGTTAGTCTTCAGTTGTGTGAATGGCTGCAATACTTTTTTAACTCTTCTAGATATATGCTTCATTATACATCATGGTGTGTTGAAGGTTTACTATGGTGACAAACTTTTAGCAGATAAATTGTAACCTCTGTATGACAGTGGGGCTGTGTTTATGTGGTCATTTTACCACATGGCTTGTTTACACCAAGAACACAGCTAAAAAAGTTGTGCCACATTTATTGGTGCAAACAAATTACAAATGTTACCTAATTTTGGACTGAATATCCTGATCACCCTGAGTATGTGGATGTGTGAGAGAAAAATAATTTGTGGTACTTGTGTATGGGTGTTGTTGAACGTTTGCAATCTTTTTTATGTGACGGAATGTTAGTACTATGATAGTAATACTTAAAACACCAACACTCTGTGGACAAAATGTTCTTGCTGCAGTTCCCATGAGAAAAACTGCTTCATGACGGAACTAAATAATGTCTTTATTAAAGGGATAATTCAGCCAAAAATTTAATAAATAAATAAATAAGTCAGCCACACGACTCTGTATATCAAGCCTTCTGAAATCTTCATTGTGAGGAACAAACCAAATTTAACTTATTCACTGATACTCCTTCTCTCTAGTGAACTGCTGCTCACTAAATGAAATCAAAATCAAGATGATTCTGAAAACATAATCTTTTTTGTGAACTGGATCAACTGATTCACCGAAAAAATCCGACTGAATGAATCATTCACAAGTGCATCACTTCTCTCATGAATAGCCGAAAAGAGCTTAGACTGGTCTCAAAATTTTCAGTGAATAATGACTTAAATAACTTGTATGGCTTATGAAGACTCTAGTACATGACTCTTATGGACTATTTCATTTATTGTACCTTTATGTCCTTTTTGAAGCATGAAAGTATAAGTGGAAGAAACATACTGATGTGTACCTTAAAATGTGTACCTTATACTGTATATATATATATATATATATATATATATGTGTATGTGTGTGTGTGTGTGTGTGTGTGTGACATTTACGGTAAAATACCGGCAGCTGTGTTTGCCAGTAATTTACCTTAAAAAAATATGGTAGCAATATTTTTTTAAAACACGTAGCAAGGAGATTGGTAAAATAATCCATGTGACATCAGGGGTTCAACCGTAAT